ACTTTCAGCTAATTCCCCAAAGGCTGTGAAGATTTCCCTCTCCATGTCTTGCTGTATCACAAAGGATTTACGAGCAAACATCTCAGTGGAAGACGAGGAGTTTAGGTTTATTTTTAATACGCTGGACCCAACATACGTTACATGCGCGTAGCCAGGGGGGGTTCGGGGGGTTCGAACGAACCGCCCACTTTGCCAATGAAGTCCCACCTACAACTCCCGCGAGATATAGAACTGCGAGGTGAAGACGACGTTCACTCTGTCAATTCATTAATTTCATTCATAAAAAACAATGTCTAACAAAGCAAAGTAAAAAGATGAGTTATTTTTGCAATTGAAGTAATGTTATTATTTGCGGGCTTAGTTTGCATTTATGTTGTTAGAGTTAAGGAGTGGTACTGTGCCTTTAAGAGGATGACGTCTTTCATTCTTCTTCGGTGTTTTTTTTTTTTTTTTTTGTGTATGTTCGGGCGGGACTCGGGAGTACCGAAGTGTTCGTTCGTGTCTGGGATGAGTTCTGAATAGAAGACTGGACACACACGCTATTCCCCTCTCAGTGTGTTGCTCTTTCTCCACTCACAACCGCCTATTTGGTAACACAGATTTACCTCACACAGCAGTGTTTTAACTAGCTAGCTAATTAGCTTGTTTACACATTTGAAGTTATGTGTACCACCGCCAATGAACCAATCAGAGTAGTCCTACAGGTCCACTTTTTCTTCAAACGAACCGCCCCTCATAAAATCCTGGCTACGCCTATGCGTTATTGCTTCACTTAGATTTTTTTAGTGATAAAGCAACGCCCCAACTCCACCATGAAATAAAGAATAACATGGGAGAAGCTCTGATTTAATGCTACCAGCTGCAGCTCAAAGGTAACTGTTATTTCTAGTATTATACTAAAACTTATAGACAAGTTGTACAACAAACTTGATGTAATTTGTCTTCAACAGGTGGAAGAGGCCAAATGAGACTCATCGCCTGGAGCCAGTTCTAAATGATACAATTTATGGTTTATAAATTACAGTTTAGAAGAGGTTTTGTGCAGATTTTCACAGGTTTTGAAATTTTGTTAAAGATTTACCAATTAATCAATATTAAGACTGAAGTCTGTATATTTCATATTAGGTTAAGTTTTGAAAATGGAGCAAATGTTAGAGCAGTATGGTTAAAAAAAAAACTGTGAAGTCTGTATTTTGTTTTGAGTTAAAGGTTAATGCACTATGGTAGGCTGAAGTCTGTTTACTTTTGTATTTATATATTTTGAATTATTTGTCTGTGATGATGCGGTGCAGCTGGTTTGACGGTTCCAAGCAGTGTGCAGAATGAAGATGGGGAGACTGTGGCAGGCTGATTGTGTTGTTAATAGCTGTTGAAGATTCTCAGTCATCCAGGACATGGTAAATACAAAAAAGTTCAAGAAAAAAAACAATAAAGTATAATAAATAAAGTCCATTTGTTTTTGTATTGAACTTTATAGAATTTGTCATTATAGCCACGTTTATTTATTACACAATACGGCATGCCATACTGCTACTACTACTCTGCTGTCATCTAGTGGCTGAAAGTGGAATTGTTCAAAAAACATTTTCAGTCAGAATGAATGAAAACAGTCATATCTCAGCCAAAATTTGGTTTATAAATATGGGGAAAATCCATAAATATGTCGCTTCAGCCTATAAGTCGCAGGGCATGAAAATTATGCAAAAAAAAAAACCCTGTGACGTTTATAGGGCGAAAAATATTTTTGTCTGGGGGAAGCTGGCAGGGCCTTCTACGCCTTCAGAGAAGGCCTAAGAATTTAGCACATATGAAAAGTTACATTTATATATACAGTAGTTCCTCGCTACTTCGCGGTTCATTTTTCGCTGACTCGCTCTATCCAGGTTTTTCAAAATAAGATTGGACATGACACACAATTGGATGAACCACAGTGGGTATGGAATTTTTATTTAAAATGAATTGTTTTACATTATTTAGCACCTGTGTGTAGCCCACAGCTGCAGAAAAAGCTTCCTCCTCCACCAGTGTGCAGCCGAAGCTGCAGGAGAAGCTTCTTCATGCAGCTTATATCGCCGCTCTGCAGAGGAGAAGTGGGCGTGGTCAAGACTGGTGGCAGGTAGCTGAAATCATGACATTCTGTGCTCTTTTAGAGCGTTTAGAGTTTAGGAACATTGTTTAAAATATTGTGCATAAAGTAAACTACTACTACTACTTGTATTACTGTTCCTACTTCGTGGTTTTTCAGTTATCGCGGAGCTTCAGGGTAACCCTGACAGAAGGCCTAGCTCTTATGGTCACAGTTCGCCTCAGATTTTTGTGCTATGAACCTTCTCAGACCTTCTGATGGTAGACTGTCCATCAAAATGAGATCCAAAACTTGTTGATGCTTCCAAAGGATTGCCTCTAGAATAGCCTAAATGAACGCTAGAGGAAGCTGAGTTTAAAACCTTTTTGAAGTACAATTACCACCAATCTTGTCATCATCATTTTGTATTATGGAAATTATAATATATTTTATTCAACCTTTAGTTGCATTTAACTGTCTTAAAAGAGCAATTTTTATTTTCTTTTAAGTGGAGTAGTTCTGTTTCGTCAGTATCTTACCTGCAGTAGACTGTAATCAGAGTTATTTTGTTTTTGGAGAATTGAGGAGAAATTCTCCTGGAGAAGGCAAACTAACTATGACTCAGAGCCATCAAGCTTATGTCGAACCTGGACCTCAAACAAGAGGCCGGGAGTGGACCTCTCTGTCTATTAGCTGGTGAGCAGGGTACAGAACAGCCACGATAAACGAGGGACTACTGTGCACTGAACACAAATATAAATGCAACACTTTTGTTTTTTCTCCTATTTTTCATGAGCTGAACTCACAGATCTAAGACTTTCTCTATGTACACAAAAGGGTCATCAGAAATCCAGCCATCTGGTGAGACCACCGTTTTCCTCACGCAGTGCAACACATCTCCTTCACATAGAGTTGATCAGGTTGTTGATTGTGGTCTTTGGAATGTGGGTCCACTCCTCTTCAATGGCTGTGCCAAGTTGCTGGAGATCGTCAGGAACTGGAACACGCTGCCCTATACGCTGATTCAGAGCGTCCCAAACTTGCTCAGTGGATGACGTCCGTTAAGTATGTTGGCCATGCAAGAACTGGGATGTTTTCAACTTCCAGGAGTTGTGTGCAAATGCTTGTAACATGGGCATGCATTATCATGCTGCAACATGAGGTGATGGTCGTGGATGAATGACGCAACAACGGGCCTCAGGATCTTGTCACAGTATCTCTATGCATTCAAAATGCCATTAATAAAATTAACCAGTGTTGTCCACAACATACAGTACGCCTGCCCATATCACCGCCACCATAGGCCACTCCATTCACAATGTTGACATCAGCAAACAGCTCACGCAGACAACGCTATACACACAGTCTGCCATCTGCCCTGTTCAGTGAAAACCAATCTGTGAAGAGAACACGTCTCCAATCTGCCACATGTCATTAGATGTGAGAATTTGCTCACTCAGGTTGGTTACAACAGGAACTGCTCTCAGGTGGAGACTCCAATGAGGACGGTGAGCATGCAGATTGTTGCAGCAGCTGTCCAGGCGGCTGGTCTCTGACGATCTTGGGAGGTGAAGGTGCTGGATGTGGAGGTCCTGGGCTGGTGGGTTTACACATGATCTGCGGTTGTGATCCTGGTTGGATGTACTGCCAAATTCTCTGAAACGCATTTGGAGACTTAGGGTAAAGAAATGAACGTTCAATTTACGGGCAACAGCTCTGGTGGACATTCCTGCAGTCAACATGCTAATTGCACGTGCCCTCAAAACCTGCAACATCTGTGGCATTGTGCTGTGATAAAACTGCACATTTTAGTGGCCTTTTATTGTGGTCAGCCTAAGGCTCGCCTGTGCAGTAATCATGCTGTCTAATCAGCATCTTGATATGCCACACCTGTGAGGTGGATGGATTATCTCAGCAAAGAAGTGCTCACTAACACAGATTTACACAAATTTGTGAACAATATTTGAGAGGAAAATATATTTTGTGTACATAGAAAAAGTCTTAGGTCTTTGAATTCAGCTCATGAAGAATGGGAGCAAAAACAAAAGTCTTGCTTTTATGTTTTTGTTCAGTGTAGTTACTTCACGTGATTAGTTACTTCTGAAAAAGGTCATGTGACACTATGATTGTGCACATAGAAGTGGATGGAAGTTCAGCCTTACATCCCAGGTGCACAGACTTGATGGGAGCAGTCATGCTGAGGTGGGGACATATGTGGTTGAGGAGTTGGAGCCATTTTAGATCAGATTTTTTGCATTAAAAAAAAAAATCTTAAACTTTCACAAATTAAGTTTTTACATGGAGTCACTTTTGAATCACACTTATTTACATAAATATTTATGGTTATTTATTTACAATGAAAATGGCTGTGTTGGAACATGATCCATGGCCTATTTTAATGCAAAAACACAAGTTGCAAAACCAACTGTGCTAAGCTCAAATTTAGCAAATTAGTTTTCATATAAAAACCCCGAACATGAATTGCTTGAACACGGTTCAAGTTGTTTCAAATGACAGAAGTTTCCTCTGAAATGTGTCCTTCTTTGAGTCGTCGTTGACTCTGCCATGAGAATTTCTTTCTGATTCTCCAAACCAAAATTATTCAGACAGCTGTCTACTGCAGGTAAGGCCCTGACTACTCATAACTACTCCCTGTAACCCACTTGAAAATCTGAACTTTCAGTTCAGTTCATGTTTTACTGTTTAAGTCTTCATAGTCCACAGGTAGTGCTTCCTGCACCTCAGCTTATTACACCTCTGTGGTTTGTTGTGTGCAGGTGAAGGGATGAAACTGCTGAGTGCCTGTCTGTGAACACATCTGGCCCCATTAGTTGCAGTCTAATCAGTAATATTTAGTTCTCTGATAAACCAACTCAGACTTCTGTTTTTTTTATTTTATTTTTCTAGCAGGCCTGGCTCCTCCACCGGCAGTGCGATGGCCAGTCCAGAAGATGTGATCGAGCCGGCGGCTGTGAGCTCAGCTGCACAAAACCTGCACCGAAGGCGCTTCTCGCGTGACTTCCACGGTCTGGATCCAGATGAGTTAGATGGCCTCTTGTCAACCAGCGGTAAGGACAAATAAAATTAAAGGCCTAGCAATCCTTTAAAAACGGCATGTATGGCCATCACATTGAATGCCAGAGTTTTTGACTAAGATCATGTTATGTTGAGAAAGGACAGAGACGTGGCTGTTTTGGTCAAACCTTGATTAGAAAGTTCTGCTCGGTTTCATGTGATATCATTACACAAGATGTTGGCCCATAATATGAGTTGTCAATGACTCTCAGCTACTACCACACCAATATTGGCTCAATATACGTAAAATGAACTGCGCTATAGCCATTTATGCGTTGGCTAATGTTGATTAGCTGTGGAGACCATCTGGATTTGTGTTGGCTCCAAATGTTAATCAGTTTGTACATGCAAGTCCAACGATTATTTCCTGAAATTCATTAAAATCATTCCAGTGGTTCATGACATATTTTGCTAACAGACAGAGCTAACTCCAAATATTTAACTCCAATTCCAATGTATCCATGTATTCATTCGTTCTTTTTTTCATTTACCCTTTATTTATCCAGGTAGTCTCATTGATCCATGAGAACTCATTTTCAAGAGAGACCTGTTTAGGGAGCAGATGGTGGGGGGTTAAGGGCCTTGCTCAGGGACCCAGAGTGGGGTAAATGAGGGTGGAGGGAGGTGTGGGTGTATCACCTTTTCCACCCACATTTTGATGTTGACGGTACCGGGAGGTGAACCTGCGACTTGCCGATCACAAGCCCATCTTCTAACCTCTGCGCCACCACTCTCCCCCATTCATTCATCCATCCATCCATCCATTCATTCATAACAAAACTTTAAACAAAGTTCTTTGGTAGTTTGTTATTGTTTGGAATATGTGTTGGGAATCAGTCCGAGCTACTTTCACACCTAGTTTTAGCTCATTAGCTGTAAAACTGACTGAGTTCTAGCAATTTTGTGTTGACTAATGTTGATTAGCTGTGGGTTGACTCTAAAAGTTATTCTTTTTGATGCATATCCAATGATTATTTTCTGCATGTTTCATTCAAATTTGTCTGGTTGTTTATGAAGTATTTTGCCAGCAGACAAACACAAACAGAGACACTAGCAAAAACAGAACTGCCTTTGCCTCTGGGTGGTGAGCACTTCTAGAATTGTGCCGCTCAGGGTGGCTGCATGTTGGAGCAGCTCTGTTTCTTTCATTCTGAGATTTTGCTTTTGGAAACTTTAATTCCTCTTTTGCTGGATGTAAATCCCCTTTTGTGGACGATTGTTTCCTCTAGTGTCAGATGCTGTGCAGCTGGAAGGATTTTACTGAAACTTTTTTACTTTTGGACATTTGTTCTGATGCGTAACCATGGCAACAAGAGTTTTTTTTTTTACAACCGGGAGCAGCTGATTAACATCTCAAAAGTTCAAATAATATCTCAGCCACAGCCCCAAATCCCAAATGAATTGAAAAGGAGGCTCCGTGGATGCATTCCCGTCTCCCTGCCAGCTGTGATTGAGTGCCTGATTGCTGAGTCAGAGATCTTTATTATCGTTCGCACCACATGTGACATGTGGTGGAACAAAATTATGTACACAGGGTCCCAGTTACATCCAACAATAAAATGTACAATTACAATTCTAAAATTCTAAAAATTATGAAACTCCCACATCTACCTCAGAATAAGATGAATAAAACGTCTGTATTTCAGATGGCTATCCTTTCCTCGTGGTTCATCACCTCCCTGAAATTAAAGAAAAAGGTGTACCCTACATAATACCTGGTACGCCCATAACATGCAGGGTGGACAACACGGAGAAATACACCACTCGCTCAAAGGTACAGCTGCTTTTGTTTATAACCTTTTCCATTCCTTTTCTTAAAGATGCTGTTAGAAGTACTCGTGGAAGCACAAACACAAACACAGTACAACATATGGAAATGCTCTTTTTATAGTTATTATATAAACCTGCTTTTGACAACTCCTGATTCTTGCTGCAATCAATTTTTTTGTGTTTTTTCTCTGTTAGGACTTTATGTCACATCTTTGAACAGCCTTAGTGAAGATTTCACATTAAAGTTGAAACAAATAATGTGATTTATGTTTTTTATAATAAATAGCATTGTGATCAAAAACTAATTTTCCCCTATACATTTATAAAATTACAATTATGTACAGTAATTTAAATTTCCTTCATTGTCTTATTCAGAATCAAACTAAATACTTGCTGAAATTCTTTGTTATATTTGACTGACTTAAACATTTTGCACATAATTAGCTTGAAGAGAAGTTTACCTGGAAGTTTAAACTCCTGTAGGGAGTTTTTAAAAGCTGAAACTGCTGGTTTTAGCCCAACTTTGGTGATTTGTTCATAGCTTAAACCAGAGCAGATTATACTAAAATATAATCAGAGTAAAATGGTCATTTATCACTTTCAGACTCCAGCTGCACAACTCCAGATGTTTATATATATAAATTATCTGCTGTGTTTGCACCTTTCTTCTGCATGTAAACAGAAGTGTTGGTGAGAAAATAAGTAATGTTTTTTTTTATTTTTTACACAGAACTTTTTACAAATAACCCCCCAGGATAAAGAGTTTTTGAGACTTTATGATTTAGCAGCTTATTTCCTGTAGGTCAGCTGTCACTTTGAGCAATAACAGTCTCTCTTTCTCCTGATCCTGTAGCCATTAACCTTTGATTGTGTACTGAAAAGTTTATTAATTTAGAGGAAACTTTAATCTGTGTCAAGATGAGCTACGATTGTTTTGGGAAAATCTTTATCCAAACTCAGCAAAATCTTCCTCTGTATTTGTTGTTAATCTGTGTTTTCGCCACTGATATTTCAGCTAGTTTCAGTGAGAATTATTTTACAAACAGAGTGCAGTATTTTCCAGACTATAAGTCACTGTTTTTTTTTCATAGTTTAGCCAGTAATGCGATATATAATCTAAAGCAATTTATATACCGTATTTTCTGGCATATAAGTCGCTCTGGAGTACAAGTCACATCAATCCAAAAAAGCATCATGAAGAGGAAAAAAACATCTAAAAGTCGCTTCTGCGTATAAGTCACATTTATTGTGCATATATTTAATGGTCAAAACAGCTTCGTTTGGCTGGGCGGCACGACACCATCCATCCATCCATCCATCGCGGCTGGAGCCACTAGCTCTCCAGCGTTCCTCCGCCTGCACCAGCTGAGTGAAGCGAGCATTCACGGGAGGACTCGCTGTTGCAGTTCTTCCATATTTAAAGCATCAGTCAAAAATTGTGTTATGAATATGTAAAAAAAAAAATGTATACAAGTCGCTTAGACGTATAAGTCACAGGACTGACAAATCTATGAAAAAACTGACTTATACACCGGAAAATACGGTACATTCCCCCCTATTCATGACGCAGTTTTTGACTGATACGTTAAATGTTCGTTCATACTGACATGAACCAGAGTAAACATTACCAGTTGCAGCTACGAGAAGGCCCTCTAGGCTTTTGACAACTATATATTGTTCCTCCACACTACCCCCCACCCAAACATTCACTTGGAGACAACAGAGACAAACTTAACACAAGTAAAATGCCCCCAAAAACAAAATCCTATTTTGCAGATTACAAACTGCAGTAATAAAATATACAGCCCAAAATGGTAATCGAGCAACAGAAAGAAAGTTTGTAAATGAGTGGGTTCCGCACAGTCTACCTGGGGGATTCAACGTGGCAGAAGGGATGGCCGCTCAGCGGTGGAGGATCCCCCCTCGCGGAGAACCTTCCCCCTGTGTCTGGCTGGCTCCCGCCGGGCGCATTACCTCCGCGGCGGTGCGTCTCGACCAGCTCTAGGTCATCCTGGCCGCGGACCACACCCTTCACTGCCCCCTTCCTCCCCGCTCCGGCGTCAGAGGGACGGACTGTTCTCAGTGCAACCCGACCAGGCAAAATGAAGCTGTTTTGACCATTAACGTGCATTTATTAAGGAAAAGTTAAACTGAAACGTACCTTTTGGCCAGTAATGTCGAGCAAACAAATAATTGTTTTTAGGTGATAATCTTGTTAAATTTCAAAGAACTGCAACAGCAGGTCCTCCCGTGCGCACTCCCATGGCCGCCAAATGGATTTCTGGCACGACACCAGCCCACGTTTCCCGGGGGTCAGCGGTGACTCATAATAAATGCGACGTATAGTCCAAAACGACTTGTATATGTTTTTTTCTCTTCATGAGGCATTTTTTTGACTGATTTGGCCTTTACTCCGGAGTAACGTACAGTGTGGAAAATATACCATACCATACCACTTTATTTATAAAGCACTTAAAACAGCTACAAGGCCAACCAAAGTGCTGTACAGACAAAACAACAGGTAACGCACCAAGCAAAATACAAAATGAGGTAAATCAGAATATAGACATAAAAACGATGCAGATAATGACGACAAACCAGTGTGGATGATCAAACACACAGATCATCGGGTGTTGAATGCTACTGAATAGTAGTGGGTTTTTAAATATGGTAAATTAAAGGCCTAGAATTCCTTGAAGAAATCTCACCCGTCGCCTTTCATGCCATTGTTTTAGATTTGAATCATCTCATGTTAAATTATGTAGTTAAAGCTATTTTGGTCCAACTATAAAAAATGTATGTACAATCTCTTCATTATTATATTGCCCCTGCTCTGTTACCACTTGGAGAATGTGCTGTGAACGACTGTCAGCTACTACCACATCAACGTTTAATTCAGTTATAGTCATCTTTGTGGAGGCTAACGTGGATTAGATGTGGTGGCCATCTTGAATTAGATGCATCTTTAAGGCGGTAAACAATAACATTTCATACAATTTTTAAAAATCCTCTCCCAGGTTCGTGTAGGAACCCTGTACACGGTGCGCCTAACACACGGCCACTTCCACTGGATCGTGAAGAGGAAGTACAAACACTTCCAGGAGCTGCACAGAGACCTTTACAAGCACAGGATGATGCTTCACCTGCTGCCTCTTGGAAGGTCGGGCTTTCTGTTTATCTCTGCCATGCAAATCAGCCTCTTGCTCTGAGGGATGCGCATGAGAGATCTGACATTAAAAGCTCAAAGCGGCTCAGATTTCTTAAGCACTGATTACTTTGAATATTCAAATGAAGGTTTGCAAAGGACCGGCAGCAGCTGAGGACCATGCCGGAGGAAATGCCCAGCCTGCAGGGCACAGAACGGACCCGAAGAACCTCCAGCAAAGGGGTATTAAGAATTCAGGATTAGAAGACGTGTTTTTTATATTTAAAAAAATATGAACTTTAATGTCCGTATGTGTTAGTTTTTATCTCCTTATATATTCATATATTGAAGTAAACATTTTAAATGTAAACAGAAACATTTTCTGTAAAAATACTCTAAAATTTTGATGTTAATCTTCTAATATTAAATATTTATTCTAGCCCTGTTTTTAAAGAGAAGCACATAAATCTAAGGGAATACATTTTTTTTGCCAAAGTTATTTTATATATAATTTATGCTGTGCTTAAATAATTTTTTTTTTCTGTTATACTGCCTTCTTATGCAGAAATACCTTGAGGAGTACCTGAATGGTATACTTGAGATTCCATTGTGTCAAAATGACCACAGCATGGTAACTCTTAATGCACTTGTTGTTATACATTTTATAATCGTACGGCACTAATCAATTCTCTCCATCTATTCTCAGCTGGAATTCCTCTCCATCGGTCCGCTCTCCTTTATCACTGATCTGGGACCCAAAGGCTTGTAAGCAACACACTACAGGCAGATATATGCGAACAAAATAAAAGTACTCATGGATATGATTAAGTGCAGAATTAAAGCAGTGGGTTATGAACAAATGTCGTACCTGCTGTAGATAGCTTTTTGAATGATCTCAGTTTGGAGTAAATGTTCATTTTTGATTATAAAAGTTCATAAAACAGCAAACGCATACATTTATATAAAATCTTGGAGACTGGAGATGTTTTAAAATTGTACCAATCCAATTTGGATTCTGCTCAGACAAGCCATTGGCTCCTCAATCAGGTCAGAGTTAAACTCTAAGCAGAAGTTGCTGAAAAGGCTGTCTGCTTGTGCATCTGTGGTCTGTGGGTGACATATGTGTCACATGTGGCTTATAATTTTAAGATTATTGCGCAACAAAAATGACATCATTCAGCCTCGTCCTCATGATTTGGTGTGATTCAATATGTTTTTATTCAACATTTGGAGATTCAGTGCAATAAAGCAAAGGAATGATTCCATGTCAATTATCTGTTTTTATTAACATAAATAAAAATTACTCTAACAGGTTTTTGATCAAAAATTTACAAATTACATCTGTAAAACCTAAAACGATACACAAAAATGAGTCCTGGTTAAAAAAAAAAAATACACACTTAGATGTGTTCATTCTCTTTCAATAACTCAGCAATTTCGCATCAAATGTCTTTTCTACATTATTAATGTCAAAAATAGGTTAACGTTTTCTCCTGGAATATGAGTTAGTTCACGATTGGATTGAAGCACACATTTGGTGTTTGTTTCTGTTTTTACCAGTGCTGTTGCAGTTCTCCTTCTGCACAGTGGGTGTCACTAACGACAAAACAATCCTGTTAAACGGCATGAAGTGCAACTAGAAGAAAAGTTGTAATGTAATGGTCTGAATAATTCTGACATATTGCTGCGTTTGAGTAACAGTCAATGCTATCATTAGTTTGATGTCACAAAGTTCCAGAGAGGACCCAGAGGGACCTTGCGTAGAGTCATGGATCAACATCTTTCTCTATAAGTTGAATTATTTGTCGAGTTTTCTGTCATATGAGTTGTTGTACATCTGTCCAGAATGCCTTTGTGTGATTACATTGATAGAATAAATGAGATTGTTTCCATGTGTAGTTCACAAAATGTACAAGAGTAGTCAATATCATGTTTAAATCTTTCCATCCATCCATCCATCCATTATCTTTACCCGCTTATTCCATTTTGGGTCACGGCGGTCGCTGGTGCCCATGTCCAGCAATCACTGTGCGAGGGGCGGGGTACACCCTGGACAGTTCGCAAGTCCATCACAGGGCCACATAGAGACAAACGTGACAAACAACCATTCACTTTCTCACTCACACCTAGGGACAATTTAGAGTTACCAATCAGCCTAACATGCATGTTTTTGGTCTGTGGGAGGAAACCGGAGTACCCGGAGAAAACCCACGCATGCACGGAGAGAACATGCAAACTCCACCCAGAAAGGCCCCTGGACCGGGGTTTGAACCAAGGACCTGCTCACTGAGAGGCAGCAGCTCTACCAGTTGCGCCACCATGCTGCCCCAAAATGTCTACCAATGTTATGAAAACATGCTTATTTATGAAGATGATCTCTATCCATGTGCGCATGTAATGTTGGTTTAGCTGTATTTGATCACCACCAGAGAGACTTAAGATAAAGTAAACTTGTGCTACAGTCTGGAGGAGAGATCCAGATTGCAAGACTATCAGATCATGGAAAAGCCTTTTTAACTGTCAGATGTCAAAAATAAATCTCCCCAGTCTTTAGTTGTGAAATCAAAATCCTTCTACAGTACACAATAAGAAGAGTGTACAAGCCCTATTTTATACGCAGACATTATTCATTGCAGACATTATTCATTGCAGACATTATTCATTGCAGACATTTCCTTCAATGGATCAAATTTTATTGGTTCATAGCATAATAAATTGATGAATCTAGATTTAATCCATCAGCATCCAGCTGTTCTACCAATCCAATCTGTCTACGACAAGTAAAACATTAACAGTTTATAACCTACACCTTCAAACTGTGGTTAACAGTTTCCAAACTATAAGGCTTTTTAAAATTGTCTGTGTATCTGACTCAGGGAGGGACCAATCATGAAGAGGTCGGGTGGTCACCGGATCCAAGGCCTGAACTGCATCGGCCACGACAGGTTCTGTTTCCGCTGGTCGCACCGCTGGCTGGTGGTGAAGGACTCCTTCCTCATGTACATGGGCCGAGACAACGCCAAGATCAACTTCGTGCTGCTGTTTGATCCAGAGCTCAAAGTGAAAGTGGGTCATGCTGACACCGGCACCAAATACGGAGTCTGCATCGAGAACTTCACTCGGTAAGTTGGCTTTGTGTTTGAGTATGTAATGATCGCTCGTTTTACAGCCCGGCTGCTCTTTGTGATACATCCCTGTTTGGTTTTGATCAGGAGTTTGATAATTAAGTGCAGAAGCTACAGACAAAGCCACTGGTGGAGCCACGAAATCAACCGGCTGGCAGAAACATGCGACTTTCTCAAAGTTCAACGCTTTGGTGGATTTGCTCCTCCTCGGGAGAACACGCTCACTAAATGGTCGGTTCAACAATCTGCTGCTAATACCATCAACTACAACAACAACCAATGTTAACCTTCAAGTGACTGTTTTGTGGTCTATTGATTTTCATGGAAGGTATGTGAATGGAAGTGGCTACTTTGCAGACCTGGCTGATGCTCTTGAGAATGCAAAGGAGGAGATTTTCATCACTGACTGGTGGTGAGAACCAGAAGAATTCTGATTTAGAGCATATCTCAACCTACTACTCATAAAGTGTATTTCGTATGTCATTGATCAAGTATTCCACAAAAAAAAACGCAGTATGTGAGATCTTATGCTCCTACCTCAACTCTTTAGTCCTGTTGGTGCTCAGAGTAGTGTTTGAACTCTAGGTTGTGAATTACTGTCAGCTACTACCACACCAAAGTTTAGCTCAATGTCTTTAAAACCCACTGATGTTTATCCATTTTTTGTGTTTGCTAAGGTGGATTAGCTGTGGTGGCTTTCTTGAATTGGGTTGACCTCAAAAGTTAATAAGTTGTAAAAGTACAAGCAACAATTATTTTCTGAAAGTCTCATTGAAACCCATCTAGGTGTTCATGCATCATGCAGTATTTTGCTAACAGACAAACTTGGTTGTCTCCAGTGGTGTAGTCTGTGTGATACGTTGGTATACGCCATATACCCACTAGAAAACCTTGGGAGTGCCCAGTGATACTTGACGTATCATTGCACATGTAATTATATTGAAACGTCGGGGTGAAATGGGTCATAAACGCCCTCAGAGAACGGCGGTGTCACTCTTCTTTCTTGGGGGGTGGAGGGACGCGTGGGGGAGAGACGGTCTGTTTGTATTCTGCCAGGTGAGTATGCCACCGCGAGCCGCTCCAGGTACGCGAAGCTAGCGGGAATGACGCAGAGCATCGCCGGAACAAGGGCAAGGGGGTTTTCAGAATAAAAGTTTCGACCGGATATTTATATTTTGACGTTTCAAAAGTATTAGTAACTTTGAAGCCACCAGTTCGAAGTTTTGAGAGCAATAAACAGCAAAACCCTTATTAAACAACGTTTCTTGGTCGCATTACTTTACATTAATTTTTTTTTTCAAACAACACAAATTGTAAATAATAATAAAAAAAATTAACATTCATATATGCATGAGCCACTCAAAGCCTAAAGAACTTTCATATTTTGTTCAATTTACTTTGAGCTAAAAAGAAAATACAGTAACTTATAATAATAAATATGATAATATGATATGTGTGTGTATGTAACATATATCCATCCATCCATCCATTATCTTCTGCTTCCTAGGGAGGTGCTTCGGGGAAATAAAAATAACGTGACGATTACATTGTACCAACCAATGTATTTTGGTTTCTAAGCACAGTATACCCACTACAAAAATGTAGACTACACCACTGGTTGTCTCCAACTAAAAATGCCATGTTTTAAGGAAATATACTGTGCCACATAAAATATGTATTGGAGATGAGTCTTAGCTATCACACCACATTTTAGCTCAGTAGCTGTAAAACTGACCGAGTTGTAGCTGTGTTTGTGTTTTCTAAGTTCAGGTGGCTGTGGTTAGTCACTTGTGTAGACCAGCCCAATGATTACTTTATCATTACCAGTCATTCACAGGATATTTTGCTAACAGATAGACAGAGTTGACCAGTAATTAATGGAAGGTTAGCCCTCAGAGTACGACATACATAATATGTAGATCAGTATCTGTGAAGTTGACTTAAGAGCCGTTTTTGGCTTTCCGCTAAAACTTTATAAATATATTTGTTTATTTTTTTCAGGCTCAGTCCTGAAGTTTTCCTAAAGAGGCCCGCAACTGATAACCACTGGAGGCTGGATGAGATCCTTAAACGGAAAGCTGTATGGATTCCTTCGGTTCTAAGTGTTCAAATTATTTTTTTTAATCATTATGTGAATTGTACTCTTAACTTTGCTCATTTTAAATCTTTTTTATTTCAGAAACAAGGAGTCAAAATATGTGTCCTGCTGTACAAAGAGGTGGAGGTGGCCCTTGGAATCAGTAGTGACTACAGCAAGAGGACTCTTATGAACATGGACTCAAACATCAAGGTGTGGCCTCTCTGCATAATTTTTATTTACAAAGAATATTGAAACAGTAACACAAACACCAGATTGGCTTCCTCTCATTTTACACATACCTCATCAATTTCTGTTCTGATCCTTTAGGTGATGCGACATCCTGACCATGTGTCATCTGTGGTGTTCTTCTGGGCTCACCATGAAAAGATGGTGGCTATCGACCAAACCGTAGCCTTTGTCGGAGGGATTGATCTGGCGTTTGGGAGGTGGGACGACAGTCGGTACCGGCTAACAGACCTGGGTTCAACAGAGGAGTTGAATGGTGTAACTGAGGAGCAGCCAAACAAAGACGTGACTGTAAGGAGGTGTTCTGTAGCTCATGGAGTGTGCTTTTAGACTCAGAATTTCATGTCTGCCTCTCTTACTCAGGATAACGGCACAGCTGATGGTCCAAAACCAAAGAATCAACAAGAACAGAGCCCAGTTAGTGGGGATGGTAATACTAAACTGTGGCTTGGCAAAGATTACAGCAATTTCATCACAAGGGACTGGGTCCAACTGGACCGGCCATTTGAAGGTACGTCATTTGAACTTCTGTCGTTGAAACACAAGGACATTTGAACACTGGGCTCGATGGACATTTGAAGCCTTCTCGTTTCCTTTTAAGATAACATTGACCGCACGAAAGTTCCTCGCATGCCGTGGCGCGACCTGTCAGCAGCTGTTCATGGCAAAGCTGCCAGGGATGTGGCCCGACACTTCATCCAACGCTGGAACTTCACTAAGGTGAGTTGAAAAGACTTTCATTAAATAAATAAATACATATACGGTACTCAAATAAGGAATGAGACCTAAACAAGTCTTAGGTTTTAGAAGCTACACATCATATGATAAAAGCAGCCAAAGTAAAATGTTAACGCTTATATTAAATCTTTCTATACTAATGAAGACTTTTTGGCTATGCTAACCTAAATAAACCAATTAATTCATTGCTTTTGACTTCTGTAGATCTTCAAAGTCAAGTACAGGGATGACTTCTACCCTTACCTTCTCCCCAAGTCTCACGCCACTGCTGACTTACTGCCATTCACTGTGCCCGGCTCCAACAAAGCCAAAGTTCAGGTATTTAATTCCACAGCAAGTAGATATATCATTGTAATTTTTGCTTGTGGAATTTGATAAGGGAATATCTGGATGTTTGGAAATGCAAAGCAAAGCTGGTGGAATTTACCGTTGGCCAAACCTCTGAGTCCTAAACAGGAAGCTGCATGCAGGATAGCAGATTTTTAGAAAGATTGCATCAGTGAGCAACAACACGAATTTAACAGTTGCTTTATCAGGTTTTTAGAATAGGATAGCTAGTCTGCAATAGAAATTGTTCAGTGTGAGGGAGTTAATTGTGAAAAATGACTTGAAAACACAATTGGTGTTTCATTCTTCATGTTCCCCAAAGACACAAAACTTGAACAGATTTGGATACTTGAGCTCTGGTGTGGGCAGCACGGTGGCGCAGTTGGTAGAGCTGCCACCCCTCAGCAAGCAAGTTGCCCCGGTCCAAATCCCAGCATGGGGGGCCTTTCTGGGTGGAGTTTGCATGTTCTCTCCGTGCATGCTTGGGTTTTCTCCAGGTACTTCGGTTTTCTCCCACAGACCAAAAACATGCATGTTAGTCTGATTGGTAACTCTAAACTGTCCCTAGGTGTGAGTGAGAGAGTGAATGGTTGTTTGTCTTGTTTGTCTCTGTGTCCCTGTGATGGACTGGAGACCTGTCCAGGGTGTACCCCGCCCCTCGCACAGTGATGGCTGGACACCAGTGACCCCCGCGACCCAAAAAGAAGAAGCGGGTAAAGATAATGGATGGATGGATGAATCTCAGGTGTGAAAATTACAACCCAAAGTCAAGTGACTGCAGTAAACACGATGAAGAAGAGCACCTGAAGAACAAAGCTAGAACTTTAACCAGGAGCATTCTCGACTATTTCTACTTGCATATTGAAGATGGATGGAGAAGTGGTTGCAACAGAGAGACAGACCGAGGTGAAGTTAGTTTTTGTCCCCCATTGCTGCGTGGAGGGGACTTATAATACCCTCCATCTGTCTTGTATATGTAAACCTTGTGAGCTTGATAACTTGAAAAATAAGTGAGGTACAAACTTCCATTTTAGTCTTTGGATGCATCGAGGCATAAGAAAGATCAAAAATTGGGTTGCCACATCAAAATCCAAGATGGCCACCATCAAATATAAATGTAAACTGACCACCCAAACTATGCTTTCTAGTTTTTATAATGCTCTCTTTAGGACCTTGTCTGTATTATAATTACTTTTTCACATTTTGGTACTTTGTTTGTACATACATTCATTCAACCTTTATTTAGACAGGTAAGTCCCATTGAGCCCCGAGGACTCATTTACAAGAGAGACCTGATTTCAACAAAGAATGATGACAACAATGGACAACAGCGACAACAATAGACAGTTATAAAAAGGCATACTGATTTTTTTTTTCTTTACAAATAAGATGGCTAAAAAAAAAAGTAACAAAAAACAGCTAGATTATAAGGCGAATGTAGAAAACTAAAAACAGGAACATGTCTGCTTTGGTCCCTGCCAGGAGTCCAACAGATTCTTAAAGCCACTTAGAGAGGTCAAGGTCGAGAGCTTCACTCTCTTACTGTGTGTGTCAGTCTCAAGCAAAGTCACTACCTTGTGAATAGGTCTTTCTAGGTATATTAACCTTGTAATACTCTTATTGCATGCTTTAGTATTTTTCTTGTTTGTTTATTCTTTGTGTTTAGCTAGTCGAATAGCTTCTTTTCATCCTGAACCTTTCATTATACTGTTAACCTTGTGTTAACCTGCATATGACAAATAAACACAACTTGGAATTTACTTAAATGCACGGTTTCCTGAAATGATTGGGCTTGCCGGTGGGTTGGCCTATGATTAATCTATGGTGGCCAGGCTACCATTGGCCACCCCCTGGCTCTACCATTGCTTGGATTGCGGTGGATAAAATTGCTTTCTCTTCTCGCCAGGATCCATCACTCCGCACCGCCTCGAACAAGCAAATAAAACCTCCCTCTGCTTTTCACCACAGTGTAGCTCCTACCCACTTCAATAACTTGTACCAAAAACATTAAGGTTTACTTGCATTCTTTGTTCAATTCCAGGCATGAAAAACACTCATCTCCAAAACTACAAAACATTCACTATACAAACCCCTCAGCAATGGGAGACGTTTCTGCCGACACTGCTTGTTTAGGCTGAATTCAGTGATGTCTACTTCCTGTTTGAGCCAGCTCTGGTTCAGTTAGCTACTTTCCATGTGCGCTCTCCTCCTAAACACAGATTGCTGGCATATGACACTTGAGAAACACAAAAAGAAATAAAGATAAGATAGATAAATTGTCACTAGTAAACAATGAGACCATAACTGAGTTTTTTGACTAGTGGTGAGCAGAACGATCCTGTTGTGAGTATTGATATCAAATGATATCAGTGTATTAGTACCATTAACTTAGTTTCAGTTTTTCAGTATGTTCTGCTGTGGTTTTGCTGGTTTTCCATGGCCGTCTGTGCACATTCCCCAGATTTCTATAATACAACTAGAGTGCACTCTGCCCATCTCGCCCCTTGTTTACATTTGTGACATCGTGCAGAAGCTAAGATAGCATCCAGTACGGGCTACTGTTCACAGCTGCCAGCTGTTTCATTAACAGCAAGCCCAACTGCATCTAAGTCACTAACTACTCTTAATATATTTACAGTAACTTTATATAATTCATAATTAATGCTAATTTCATAGAACAATCATGTAAAACCTGTTTAAATAAAGCTTGAATGTAAAACAGCCAGATGTTATGTAAGGAAAATATATTGAATTTAACTAATGATGATCTAAACTAGGCCGGAAGTCCGTCAATAATTAATGACCGGCTTCCAATAATTTCAATACGTTTTAGCTGGTTGAATAATTATGACTTTAACTCACTGATAAATTTGTACTTAACTTTTTGAACATGTCAGTAACACTGCAGCCACACTCTGTCTTTATAAAATCTTAAGAAGCCTGGGATCACGAGAGGACAAAGTCACTGAAGATTTAGAGTCTGTCATGTTAGAATGTAGGAAGATTTGTGACTTTTCTGTAGATGAACCATTAAAACAAAAGATCCTTTCTGACTCTGGCAGCAGGTCTAATCTAACAGGAAATCAGATGGTTCTCCTCACAACAGAGAGACTCTGTTCTGGCTCTGGTATTGCAGCCATTCAGCGTTCAGAGTTGTTCTTGCGATGGCAGATGGTAGAATGAAAGTAAAGCGTGTTGAACAAAATTACTCTGTCCTCTTCAGCAAAGCCAGAGGAAGCACTGGTTAGAACAGAGAGTACGAGTGAAAAGCATCTTCACCAGGCTTCATGGGATTTGTGGTCCAGATTGTGAGATGGCACAACATCTCACTGAGCCACTTCTAATTTAGTGATAAAATCGTGTGAGAGCTTATCACAGATAGAGGCTGTGAGGAAGCGGAAGAAAGTTGAGTGGCTTAAATCTGATTTATTAAAGCAAGAGTGCTGTGTTTTAAAATAAACTTATGTGGAAACGGTAAACAGTTAATATCTTACCTGTTGCAGATGGTTCTTTACCTCAATTTAGGATAAACAAATTGTATTCTGAACGGATTGGTGAGCTAATGGCTAGTTGCAGGGCGACAACTTCAGTCTCAACAATATAATAGCTGTTAAGATTTCAAATTTAAATTAAAAATACGTAACAACGTAGGTCAACAGACAGCATGTTGAGGTCACATGACACTGCACACGTATTATTTATACACGGCTCGAAGGTGGATGCATTATGGTATAGTCTCCGTCCTTGAACTTTCTCTTGATCCATCTATTCTGACCTGTTCAAGACATTTTAATTAAATTTTATTCACTTATGCGTCATCTCTAGCTGGAAAGTCATGTAAACTTTTCATAGCCCCAGCTCCAAGGTCAAGGTCACAGATCAAGGTCAGATATTATACAAGATCTTTACTTGTCCTGCTCATAACTTCTGATTGGCTCAAGATAATTTATTGAAACTTGATACATATTTGTACCACTAGACCAAGGCCCGGGGGCCAAATCAAGCCCACAGGTGAGCTCAGTTTGGCCCACCAGTGGGTTCATTTTTAAATAAAACTAGATTTAAAACCATAAAACAAACTTACTTAATGACAATAACTGCTGGATGTCTGGTCCTTGAACTCTTGGCTTTTAGTAGCTGTGGCCCCCTGAGTAATGTAGTTGAATAGTCCTGCACTAGACAGTTTGTCAGATATCTTTTCTTCACCTCAGCTTCAAGGTCAAGGTCATAGTTAAACCAAGGTCTTTGCTTGTCTGAACCATAACTTCTGATCTGCTCAAGATAATTTAGTGTAACTTGATACACATTTAATGTAACTTCACTCATTCATTCATTCATTCAACCTTTATTTAGACAGGTAAATCCCATTGAGCCTCGAGGACTCAGTTACAAGAGACACCTGATTTCAACAAAGAGTGATGACAATAATAGACAACAGTGACAACAATAGGCGGTCATAAAAAGGCATACAGATTATTATTTTATGAACAAATAAGATGGCCAAAAAGTAACAAAAACAGCTAGATTCAAAGGCGAATGTAGAAAACTAAAAACAGGAACATGTCTGCATTGGTCCCTGCCAGGAGTCCAACAGATTCTTAAAGCCACTTAGAGAGGTCAAGGTTGAGAGCTTCAGATCTTTTTGTAAAATATTCCAGGAAACAGGAGCAAATACACATTTGTTCCATCTCTAGACAGTGTGTTTTCATATTTTTTAGTACCCTAGCTGTAAGGTCAAGGTCACAAATCAAGGCCAAAAGTTGTCTTTGCTTGTCCGAGCCATTGCTATAAATTTCTTTATTGCTGTAGAATAGTTTGTCGATGGGCGTATAATGTGCCATCTGCGGTACTCTTGTAGATAAAGTGTGTGGTTTTGGCAGTGTGGTACATTTTTTAAATCTCGCCATGACACTACGGTAATTGTTGGTGCAATGTTCACATATTTCATCCAATCTGCACCAAAATGTCCAGGAATTATGTTTCTCCATTTCTCCAATGATGCAATACATAAACTGTGTGGGCGTGACAGAACCTAAACGTAACACGGATTTAGATGATTTGTTTTGAATTTATCATTTTTATGCCACATCGGCCTTTTCTAGCCCTGACATTTGATCAAACTTCATTTAGAAATTATGGAATATTGTCCTGAAACTTCAGTTTTACTTTAATTTACCTTTTAAGGTGTGGGGGATTAAATGTTATCAAGAGCTTGAGTTTTTGTTTTGGAGACTAATACGCTCCACTGCTACTTGTCAGTTTTATGCCCTTTACTTAGCCCTGCCTGAGAACAGGAAGTCACTAGTTGTAGCAATGGATATCCTTCTCTAATGTCCTTTATATGTCACCTTCAATATTTGTCAGGTAACAGAGGGATGTTCCTTGGAATTGCTTTACTCATGGATGTCAGCCATTTTGAAATACCGTCCCCATTTTGAAGACATTTTTGTCCTTTTCAGCCTTGCCTTTAAACAAACACCTCCCAGAAATTTCAAAGGTGTTTTGCATGGGGTTGGTTGTGCTTGTTGCTCAACATTTAACACAGGCCAGAGGATCACCAAAGGGCTTCTTGCAGCTTCAGTTGAGACTGGAGCCGTTTTAAGACAGCCATTCAGTTTGATCTTAGCCCAGCTCAGTCTAACCATTTACTCATCAATCTGGTAAAACTTTAAGTTCTACCTCCAAACTGCTGTCTCTATAAGATTAGATATGTTGTTAATTATTTTTTCTATGAGCCCAACTACAAAAAACCTAAACTGCCTCTTTACAAGGGCTAGGTGATTAAAAAGTGTCATTTCTAACTGGCTGCGTTAATTTTTAGTATCTACATTATTACCTACTGACATTGAATCTGTAACTATTTCTAATTCCTCCCATTTGATAAGTTGTAAGATAAAATATGAGATAATAATACAGTAGTTGATATACTTTAATTGAACCCACTTTAAGAGATTTGAACCATTGATTTAAGTAGTAAGTGAAACATCAAAGGATTACTCTCAATCAACATCATGTTTGAGTTTTAACCTTCTCAAGAAACAAGTGTTGGACAGAGGTGTTGAAAACGTTTTTGCTGTTGTGTTTTCTCTCGCAATTGAAGGAGGTGGCCTGTAACTGTAACCCTCCTTATCGTGTTGTTGGTTTAGGTATCATGATAGCCTTATTCAGGTTTCAGGGCTTCTGTTGGTACAGTTTGTATTGGAGCCAAAGCAGATGTGCTCCATTTTGTTGTCCCCCAGGTGCAGAGCGATGAGGGGAATTATAAATACACTCAGTCTGTTCGTCTTGTGAGCTGGAAGTTGATATACCAACTTCCATTTTGATGTGTAGCTCCATTTGGGCATTAGAAAGGTCCCTATCAAAAATTGGGTTGCCAAGTAAAAATCCAAGATGGCCACCACCATAAATATATGTAAATTAGCCACCCCAATCATTTGAGGAAACTATCGTTTCTCGTTTTTATATTGCTTAAAAGTATAGTTTCCGCAAATGATTGGGGTGGCCTGTGGGGTGCCCAAAGATTAATCTATAGGGCTAAGGCCACCATTGGCCACCCCTGGCTCCGTCATTGCGCCTGGTTGTGGATAAAATTGCACCATCCACTCGCTGGGCTGGGTCATTCATTGCGGGGAGTGGTGGCGCAGAGGTTAGAGAAGGTGGGCCTGTGATCAGAAAGTCGCAGGTTCAACAGGCTCAACATCAAAATGTGGGTGAAAAAGGTGAAACACTCGCACCTGCCTCCACCCTCATTTGCTCCAATCTGAGCCCCTGAGCAAGACCCTTAACCCCAACCATCTGCTCCCCAAAACAGGTCGCTCTTGAAAATGAGTCCTCGTCACTCAATGAGACTGCCTGTATAAATACAGGGTAAATGAAATAAATTCTGCGCTGCCTCGGACAAACAAAACCCTCCCCCTCTCCACAGTGAAACTCTTCCTCCCCACTTGAATAACTTGCACCAAAAACATTAAGGTTTACTTGCATTCCCTGTTTTATTCCAGTCCAGAAAAAAACACTCATGGCAAAAACTATATTCATTCACTATTCAAACCCCTCAGCAATGGGACATTGGCATACTGCTTGCATCCCTTTTAAGGATCCTTATAACTTTCTGGTTTTATTATAATAATTTTGTAAAATGTGTTCAATCCACAGTTTAAAAAAAAAAGAAAATGCTTCTTATTGATTGTAGAGCTTGTATCTGAGAAAACAGACAAAGCGAGGAATGCACAACAAACTAATGTGCATCCAGAGACAGAAATTGTTTGTGTTATTTCCTCAGGTGTTGCGCTCTGCTCATTCGTGGTCCGCTGGAACATTTGAAAAGTCGATCCAGAACGCCTACATAGACACCATCAAGAACAGCGAGCACTACATCTACATCGAGGTAACAGCACCTTCTGTGAAGGGATCACAAGAACTCCACCCCTAACTGCTGCTGTAGTTCATTTCTGCTTGTGATGCTTCGTCATGATAATAGATAGACATAATGGATGTCACATCTCTGAGAAGTTTGTGGGGCTGATTTTAAGGTTTCATTAATGTGAACCCCTCCTTGCTTGCCAGCTTCCTGTCTGCTTTGATTTTTATCTCACACTGAGCAGCCATGTGCCTCCTCTCTTCCCTTAGAACCAGTTCTTCATCAGCTGTGCTAAAGAGAAGGTGGTTGAAAACGGGATCGGCGATGCGATTGTTGACCGAATCCTCCGTGCTCACAGGTGGGATTAGTTTCTACGACACCTCCTTCATTTACTGTTTGTAAACCTTAACGTTTTAAAGCAGTTTAAGAAATCTGTGCTTAAAGCGAATGTTGAACTATACATTACCTCTGCGATTTAGGTTAACCATAGCACAACTGACTCATCATTCAAACCAATACTCAGTTTAAAACTCAAACTTTGAAATGGTTCACGTGGAAGCAGTGACCGTTGTGTGTTGCTGCAGAGAACGGAAGAAGTTCAGGGTGTTTGTTGTGATTCCTCTGCTTCCTGGTTTTGAGGGAGACATTCGCACCGGAGGTGGAAATGCCATCCAAGCTATTCTGCACTACACTTACAGGTGAGAGTCTTAAGTCCTTGAAGCTTCATTTGTAAAGGCTTGTGCATGTAGAACATAAATGAGATTATGATTGTTACACACAATCATGGGAGGTCAAGAATATCTAATCAAAACAAATTTAGGTTGAAGTGCAACACACAAAACAAACGGCAAGTAGACAAAACCAAATACAAAAAAACAGAAAACAGTTAATACTGCACGGCACATTATACGCCCGTCGACAAGCTATTATACAGCGGTCTATAGCAATGGTCCGGACAAGCAAAGACCTTGTTTTAACTTTGACCTTGATTTGTGACCTTAACCCTGGAGCTGAGGTGATGAAGTGAAGGGGCGTTGTTTTGCAGCTAGGTCTACTCCTCTGTAGACCATATCATGAAACAGCAGTAAATCTACAACAAAGTGACCGGGGGCAGAAAATAATCAGTGTTTTGCAGTGAATCTGTTGTGTGTTCTTGCACACTTGAGGTTTGGTTTAAATAATTTTAAAGGCTGGTAAAAATCACATCATTAATCTTGATGCATGCATCCCTGGAAATGAAAGAGGCTGAACTTTAAATCTCATCTTAAAACACATTGGTACTCATTGGCCTTTAATGCAGCATGACATTGTTGAATAATTTTAATGGTTTTGTTTTTATCTTGTATTTTTGTATGCCTGTTGAAAGGTGAAGTCAAGGTCAAATGTCATACAAGGTCTTTGCTTGTCCAGGCCATTGCTATAGATCGCTGTATAATAGTTTGCCGATGGGCGTATAATGTGCCGTATGCAGTACAGTAGTCCCTCGCTACTTCGTGGTTCGTTTTTCACAGATTCGCTCTATCGCAGTTTTAAAAATAAGATTGGACATGACACACAATTGGCTGAATGGTGGATGAGCCACACGATTGACATGGAATTTTTATTTACAATAAATTATTTTAAATTATTTAGCAACCTGATGCACCTGTGTGCAGCCTACAGCTGCAGACAAAGCTTCCTCCTGCAGCGTGTTGATTTCCAAGAAGTGGGCGGGGCCGAGAGCGCTGGCAGATGGCAGAGTGCAGCTGGAGGCAGAGAAGTGAGTTCATGACATTCTGTGCTCTTTTAGAGCATGAAGAGTTTAGAAACATTATTTAGAATATTGCAAGAGTGTGGGTTTTCTCCGGGTGCTCCGGTTTCCTCCCACAGTCCAAAAACATGCATGTTAGGCTGATTGGTGACTCTAAATTGTCCCTAGGTGTGAGTGAGAGAATGAATGGTTGTTTGTCTCGTTTGTCTCTATGTGTCCCTGTGATGGACTTGCGACCCGTCCAGGGTGTACCCCGCCCCTCGCACAGTGATTGCTGGACATGGGCACCAGCGACCCCCGTGACCCAAAATAGAATAAGCGGGT